CCTCCACCACACCCCCAGGGTACTGATGCGGGCTGTAGTCGTAGACAAAACCATGGGGACATTTTTCCGTAGGTAGTCCACGCGCTGAGGCGTTTGCAAACAGTGTGATATAATCCTCTACTGTGGAATTGGCAGGTTTTTCGATGGAGTATACCTCACACGCACGTATGACAGTTGTTGTGTCCGAGGGGGGACTGAAGAGCTCTGCAATTTGGCGAATGCTCCATGTTGTTACATTGACTGCTGTAGACGTGGCGTTTGCAATCCAGGTCTCGACTTCTGGTGACATTTTACAGCGGTGGTTCGGAAAGGAGTTTATGAATATTGACAGCACGACCGTATTGGGAGAGGAGAGTGCGTTCAAGAGGACTAGGCCAATTTGCCAGAATCCAATGGGTTGGACGACCTCCGTTAATAAATTATCTACCTTGGCACCATCGAGGGTCGGGAGTGTCTTAGCCTTCTCTTTTTGTTTTTTGGACAATGGAACATTCGCTGCCGTCCGTCTTCCTCGGCAAGGCATTTTCTTGTGGTCATGCACGCGGCTGAATTTGGCGGCCAGAGCGGCGGCTATGCCCATTGGCTAGGCGGCAGTTCCTTTTTCGTATCTCATTGGTTATTAATGTTAGTGATTTTACTGGTCAGCTGAAATGCTCATTTCCCCACTGATTCGCTTACCCTTGCGACGAATCCCAGAGCCAGAAATCATCTCGGTTCTTTATCTCACGTCTTTCATTGTGGCCAGATCATAGTCAGGTAGGTTGGTTATTTAATCCCAGCACGTATGCGTTTTTTTTCGGTCTGACCACTGGACTCACAGTAAATACGGATTGTGTCTGTTGACTGCACAAATAACTTTGGAAGATATTTTCAGATCTCGTTAAATCTAGTTCATTAACTTCCAAAAAGTAAATCGTCTGGTTATTAGGAAAACCAACGCGGGAGCGATAAGGTTCGGGGCGCATTAAGTCCCGTCCGTTCCGACCTACCACTTTAGCTCTGTCTCCCTTGAGGTATTATCGAAGGATCAGTTTTACCAGATAAGAATAACGACCTTACTCTTATCGGAAAAGCATGCAATATTG